TCGCTCTCCGAGGTCATGCAGAACTCGCCCTTGTCGTCGAAGTCGATCGACACGATATAAGGTGGCGGCTGACCCTCCTTAAGGTTGTCGCGCTGGAATAACTACCGGGGCAAAATTAGCGATCGTCAAGGGGACCTAGCAATCTTGAACTTCAATCGCACCTTTGTCGGTCGAAAGCTCGATATCACATCGGCTACCCGCGATGTGCTGGGCAGGTTCGAGCCGAGTGTTCTGGTGATGTTGAGCGACGGCGTGGCCGTGGACGGTGGTGCCGGCTCGTCGATATCCATTGGAGTTGAGGCCATCTTTCAGGCGGCGATGTTGTCGTGGCCCTTGGGTTTTAGAGGGCGGGCTGCCAGAAAACGATCATGACTTGTGTGTGCGGCCAAGCTTCGGGGGTTGCAGTGATGCTTTCTTTGTGAATGAAAGCGTGGAGCACTGGAGACGCGCCGCGCCGTTTCTGCCGGGCGGCATGAAATGCGACCAGCCGACAGTGGGCTTTTGTTATACCCGATTGGGTTAGTGTATCTTGGAGCTTGAACGTTATTATCGATGAAGCTCAATAGGCGTACGGAATATTTCTGTCCCACAACGCTTGGATGTTGGTGCAGAATTACTTATCTCTAGATAAAAGTAGGCAATACAATATGAGTAGTCGCACATGTACTGCGCTTCACAGTCAAACCCCAATTGCGATGGTAGAGGACAAAGAACATTAAGAGCGTCACCCGTATCATTCCCGAACCGGACCCTAACCCTCGAGCACCCCATTCGTCGCATTCTTTACCTATATTTCCGTACTTATTTTTATTTATCGGCTGCAGTGCAGCACCAGCTGACGATGGACAGACTTATTCAAATTGAGACATTCCAAGCTAAGTAGACCAGCCTGTGAGTCGTTACACGGATACTTGAGGCCATTGAGACAACCCCAAAATCATACCACTCCCAATTCCATCCTCTTCTCTCATCTAGTCAAGCATCCCCGGCCGATATGTTTTCCCACTCTGGCGACTTGTGGGGTTTTGTTCCTGGACGAGAGCCCGAGACACGGAGCTTCGGGGCAGCGTGGTCTGTGCTGAAGCTTCATTATGAGCTCCAGCGCCTGAATATGGGGCTTTTTGGGACCCTTGAAGGTCATTGGAGCGCCGACTCCGCAGGCATGTCATGACTGAGCCAGGGTAAATTTCCCCCGACGGCAGCGGCAGCAGCATCTCTAATACCGACCGCACAGTCTCATATATCTGTGCCGAGTCAAGACCACTAGTACCGTGATGGTTCTAGTATAACCTCTTCTGACATTCCTTTTTATTTTCATTTTTATTCTCTAGAATCACCTATGTACCTCGAAAGTTGACGGACCAATTCCCCTCCCTCACGAGCCGCGCCCACGAGCCGCGCCCACGACCCGCGCCCTCCTCCTCAGCCGCTTGCGGTGGTGAATTTCCCTCCGCTCCAGCGCCGGCAACACTCGGCTTAGGCGGGAAAACGGGCAGCACCCTCGAAAGTCGATATCTCGCAACGGACGCAGACAGCAGGGGCAGAGCACAGCAGCAACAGCAACAGCAACAATGTCCACAACGGCTGGGTATGTGTCCACTCATCACGACAAGCCAATTAGGGCCCAATGCTAACAACAACCGCAGCGCCTTCATAGCAGGCGGGATCGCCGCCTGCGGAGCAGTAACGGCGACACATCCCTTCGAGACGGTCAAGATCCGCATGCAGTTGCAGGGCGAGCTGCAAGACAAGGGCCACCAGCCGCACCACTACCGCGGCCCCATCCACGGCGTCTCCGTCATCGTCCGCAACGAAGGGCTCCGCGGCATCTACCGCGGCCTCGGCTGCGCCTACATCTACCAGGTCCTGCTCAACGGCTGCCGCCTCGGCTTCTACGAGCCCATGCGCACCCGCCTCACCTCGCTCATCTTCAACGACGAGAAGGCCCAGAGCCTGGCGGTCAACATGTTCTGCGGCGCCGCCTCGGGCATTATGGGTGCCGCCGCCGGCAGCCCCTTCTTCCTGGCCAAGACGCGCCTGCAGAGCTTCTCGCCCTTCTTGCCCGTCGGCACGCAGCACAGCTACAGGAACGCATGGGACGGTCTGTCGCAGATCTTCCGCGCCGAGGGCGTCCGCGGCCTATACCGCGGCATCGGCGCCGCCATGATCCGCACCGGCTTCGGCAGCTCGGTCCAGCTGCCCACCTACTTCTTCGCCAAGCGCCGTCTGGTTAGGCACCTGGGCATGGAGGAGGGGCCCGCGCTGCATCTTGCTAGCAGCACAGCCAGTGGTTTTGTTGTGTGTGTTGTCATGCACCCACCAGGTAAGCTTATAGCGTCCTCCACCTTCTTGCTTTCTTTTTACGCCCTGAAGATGAGACACAACTTACTGACTTTAACTAAGACACCATCATGTCCCGCCTGTACAACCAAAACGGCAACCTCTACCGCGGCGTCTTCGACTGCCTGGCCAAGACGATACGCACCGAGGGCTTCTTCGCCATCTACAAGGGCTTCCTGCCCCACCTGGCGAGAATCCTACCGCACACCATCCTGACGCTGAGTCTGGCCGAGCAGACCAACAAACTTATTAGGAAGCTGGAGGATCGCATATTAGCGCCCAAGACTGACTTGTAGCAGTAGTGGGTGGAAGCGTGGTCGGTGGGCGCATGTGCATGTGCATGTGCATAACGGCGTGTGGCGTTGGAAAGAAAAAGGAAGACATCTTCTGATAAATGCATGGTATAATTTTAACAAAGGGAAACACTAACTGTTGTGTCTTTTATGGGCGTTTCTTCTGTTATACAGTCTGGTTCGGAGGTGGGTGGGGGAAAAGGAAAGCGTGTTAGTTGATGTTGGTATCGATTCTTGGCATCTATCATATTGTTTAGGGGGTCACATAGTATATATTCTGCTAGAATTGTATATGTTATACATCTCTTTATTGCTTCATTGTAGTGTCTATATTTGGTATGTAGAACCGGAGTATTTATTTCCACATGCATTGGCAGGTTCCCTCCCACCTATGAAGTGGTACAAGAAACTCGCAGATCGCCTGTGAACAAACACAGAACTGCAATCGAAACATTCACACGTTCACACCGAACGACGCTTTTCATTTATACCTAATGTGTCTGTCTATACACTCAATCCCTTGTCAACTACCCCCTAGTAGACCTCTCACACCCATAACACAACCTCCCCCGACTCGACGCCGTCCCATCCAATCCCCCGCCATCGCCCAGCTCCCCGCGCCACCGCTCATCCCCCTGCTCGTCCAGCGGCATGTTGCACACGCCACATCTCTGCTTCTGTCCTTCTCTCGTCTCCTCCAGCCGCAACAGCTTCCCCGTCGTGCGCGCCACGTTCGCCACGACCGAGGGGTAGTTCTCCTCCACATCGGCAAAGTAGCGCAACATGACCTCTTCGATGCTAAGGTCCTTGTGGGAGACTATTGATGCGGAAGTCAGAGAAGAAGGGGGAGGTATGAGCTCTGTCAGAGGTGGCGAGGGAAGGGTGGTGTATGTGACGAGTTCTTTGCGGAGGATGTCGCGGAGGGGGTGGTAGATTAGGATGCTGGATGTGCTACTACTACTACTACTACTACTAGTAGTCTCATCTTCCTGTGCTGGTGTTGACGTAGTGGTGGTAGTAGTATAGTCGACAATGGGCAAAACACCATCATTAACCTGCCACGGCAGCGAGAATCCCCTCCCCTTTGCCGTCTCAGCGAGCGTCAGCTCCGCCAGCGCCGTCGTGCTGTGGCCGAGCAGCACCGTGTTGCAGCCATGCGTGCGCGCCGACGCGATCAGGAGGTGTCGCGTGAAGAGGCGGGTCATGTCGGCCCGCGAGGTGGTGGATGGGAGGCGCGCGAGCAGGTCGCTCAGTTTCTGCTCCGGGGTGTTGTCGTCTCCATTGCTACTGCTGCTGGTGGACGGCAGCGTCGACCAGTCGATGGTCTTTACGCCGAGGGCTGCCGAGAGCGGCACGCGCTGGAAGTCGAAGCGCGGGTAGCGCTGGCGGTAGCGGTCGAGGAGGGCCTCTGTCTGCTGCTCATTTCCGGTTGAGGGTGTGGATGAGGAGGAGGCGTCGACATGGACGACCGTGAGCTCAAAGGGCGCTGCTCTGCCCTTGGCCAGCTGGAACTCGACGTTCTCGTTGAGGAGGTGGACCAGGACGGAGGAGGACACGCCGAGTGAGAGGCCGAGTAGGTATTTGCGCTGGCTGCTGGCCGGGGGGCCTTGGCCGCCGCCGCCGCCGTTGGGGGCCTTGGTCTCTTTGCCTAGGATGCCGATCTGCTTGATGCACTTGGTCGAGATGAATTTAGCGAAGCAGTCCCTGATTTACTGTTAGCTTCGAGTTCAATAACGCAAAGTTTCTAATAAAATGCATACCTGCAGACGGGCTGTGATCTGCTGTCCAGAGTCGCTTCCTGGGCTCTGCACTTGAGGCATGGCCGTGCAAGTGGCGACCCCGCTGAGGTCTCTGTCTCGGATGCCATAAGTCGATCGCACTTTGGCGGTGCCAGCTGGTTCGAGGAATGGCGCGCAAAAACATGGAACTGCCAGAGTCTAAGTGCGACGGGTTAAAGATGAGAGAGCGGTTATTGCAAGATTGACTCACTCATCTTCCATCTGAACTTTCAGTCGTCCTCAAATTTGGAGATGAAGGGTTAGGGTTTTACCCCGACCAACGGACAAAAAGGGGCATTGTCCACGGTTGCACAAACTCTTGTTGGGCATAGTGATTAAAAGCGAACTTATCTATTCTGTTAACGACCACCAGGTATTTTGGAAAATATATCGGGCATCACTCCTGGTAAACCTGGTGAGCATAAGCTCGTCTACATCATATGTTCAAAAGCGACATTGGTGAAGATCATAGTTTATCTCCCCGGAGCATAGCCATGAGTCCAAACAAGTCAGACGGAAGGGAACGCAGGGGGAAACCACGATATCATAACCACGAGGTACAACAGAGAAAAGGGCAAAAAAGAAAGATTGGACAGTACCGGATTCGAACCGATGACCTTTCACAAGGTGCAACTCTGTGAAGAAAATGCAAAGCGAAAATCATACCCCTAGACCAAATGCCCTTCTTGTGATTTGCTTGTTGTTTTGGCCTCGGTGGACGGGTTTTGTTCAGTCCGGACGGTTGGGATTCCTCAGTCTCATCTTATGTTTCGCCGATGCTTTCAATCTAAAGTACAATTCTATTATTAAACTGAATTTGTTCATGTATTTTGATAAGTATAGTAACATACTATTCTTATTTAGTGACCCACCCATCGCGACTCCGTATTTCTATCACGAATAAACATTCCCGTGTTTCTGTGACTATGTTAGCTTTGTAAAGGAAAAGCGTTATTGTCAACATTTGTATCATCGCCTTCTTACCTGAACATCAACGCATTACTCCGAATAGATAACAGGTACAGCCCACGAGACGAAGAAGTCTCTCTCTTAAAACCATCCATCAAAGTTGTTGTAAACCGTTCATAGCCAGCCAAGCGTGATGTATGTATGCGTTGTGATGTTACCCTCACAACTCATCTGTCGTCGGCGTCTCCATCTCGGAGGGTGTCTCACCAATCTCTTCAATAGTATTGCTGACAGTCGCACTGTCAATCTGGCATTCCACGCCAGGAACACAGCCAAGCTTTGTGCGGACGCGGTCGGGGTCAGCCCCAGTTGCGGCCGATATGCTTTTGTTGGCGTTAGAAGTCAGAAATGTCCCTACCAGCAGATTGTGGACAAGCTCAAGGGAGCGAGGATAGGACATACACATCGGTTGCCATAGTGCAGCTATGAGAGCTACCGACAGATGGTGATGGCTCAGGGGACATAGACGAGTCCGCAGGCGAGGCGTCTCGCTGCACTGGTTCGGTCGTCTGAGGTGATTCAGATGGTTGAGATGGCTCAGACGGTTCAGGCGACTGAGATAGCTGAGGTGACTGAAACGACTGAGGCGAATGAGACAGTTGAGGTGTTTGAGCTGAAAGAGCTGGCAGAGGAAGCTGTCCTGGAGGCAGTTGTCGACCTGGCGGAGGCGGTTTTACCCGATTCCCTAGTGCATCATACTGAACCGCCAATGGTAGAATCTGGCGATACGGCCCAGACGAGTTAGGCACCAAGGACGAGATGGGAGGTAACGGCGCGGCTTGCGGCGCGACTGGCGTCGTGGCTTGCGAAGCAGCTTGCTGACCCGATTGAGCCCCCTCGGCTTCAGCAGCACTGGGGGTTGAACCGTTCGTCAAAAACGGCCTCAGCACATTCTCGTACGGCTTCAGCAGGTTCTCCAACGTCATTGCCGGGCACCGTTTGGCGCGTTTACGTTTAAAATTCGGGTCAACGGGGGGAACCTCGGGGTAGCGCGGACGACGACCCCCCTTCTTTGGCGGTTCCGGCTCCTCGGGCAGAGAGAGCAGGTACTCGATGCGCGCATCGTCGCAAGCACGCTTGTTGAGGAGGATGCGCAGCCGCCTGTTCTCCTCGACCACCTCGCGGGCAGCCCGCTGGATCTCGGCCGAGATTTCGACCCCACGCTGTTCAACGACCCTGACGCGCTCTTCGAGCTCCTCAATGTGCTGCCTCTTTGTCTCGCGGTGGCGCCGCTGGGCTTCCCGATTGCGGACGATGGGATCTTCGCCCGACTAGACCATGAATGTCAGAATGCCAGTGTTGTGGGGACAATAGTAGTTATCATACCGGTGGTCTCCCAGGAGGTCTGCCCGTGGGTTTGGTGGCCATTGTCAGCAGGATGGATGCCGTCTGGTGATGGTGAGCGGCTCAACATTAGATGCCAAAACGCGTCAGTCAATGCTATGTAGACCAGCCAGGTTCCAATTGACGCGACGGTTGTCGTCTTTCTGCAAGGGGCGTTGACCAAGTTCGTGACACTATACCATATACAGTAAAGCAATCACATTCACAAGTGTCAAAGGTTCCATCGACGCCACCACCCGCTATGTTTTTCCAATTTTACTAATGGCTCTCGTACTCCTTACCTCGGGCCAACTGATGCAAATAAAAAGAATGAGTTGGAGCAATTAGCAAAAGATATGCATCAGCCGTGAATCGAACACGGGGCCCATCGATGGCAACGATGGATTTTACCACTAAACCACTGATGCTATTTCCTAATTGGATGAAAGATTGCCAGGATGTCAGAGATTAAGTTAGCAATGCTAATGGCCCACAAAACCGTGACCCTTTTTCAAACGACATTCTACAATCACAGCACCATAGATACCCCATAAAAGACCCCGGTACATACTAAATATTAAGTTAGTAGCAGTATTCTTTGGCCATGGCTTGTTCGCGTTTAAGAGGATCACGTTCATTATCATTTTCGTTTCCAAGTGCATGACGTAATAAAGCCTTTTATATTATTATTTAGGTATCCCACTAAGGGATGTATTCAAACTAGTCTAAAACTCACCGTTCATCCTTACCTTACTCTCCGATTAAAGAGAAGACTGCCGTCTAAAGGCAAGCAGTTAGTAACCCCCCCGCAAAGAAAGAAGAAAGGCCACACTTACCAAGAAGCAGCACCAGTATCCTCCGCCTCCAGCTCCCTCTCCAGATCCCTGGTCATGCTCTCCAGCAGACTCAGAACCCTAGAAAGGTCACCAGACATGCCATTAGCATAGTCCATCATAGTCGCCTCGTACTGCTGATAGAGGCCAGTGAAGTCCTTAGAGGCAACGCCAAAAGCCTTACCCCTGCAGTTCTTGCAATAGTCAGGAATAGTGCTCCCATTGGGGCCAACGGGGGGAGGTTGTGAATGTTAGAGTGGCTAATCTTGACAGCAGGGACCTGTCCAGAGCGGCACACGTAGAAGCGGCACATGGGGTACTCCAGCTCAAGGCGGCAGATAGGGCAGCGGTTGCCAGTACCAGCGCGTTGGGAGTCTATGCACTCAGAGCAGAAGACGTGGCCGCAGGGGAGCAGGCAGGTAGCAGGAGTGAGGGTGTCCTCCTTGGGGTCCGCAGGGAGGCCAAGGGGGTTCATCCAGCAGAGAGAACATTCGAGTTCAGTCTTCTCCACCAGGAAGGTGTGGGCAGGGTTAGGAACGTAGCACTCACGAGGCATGGTGTTTGGTTGTTTGGTTGTTTTAGGCACTGCCTTGTTAGATGTTTGTTGTGGGTGTTTGTTGTGAGTGTTGTGAATGTGGTTGTGATTGCTGTGATTGTGATGATGAGCGAGATGAGGAGGATGAAGACCAGGAGATAGTCCTCATTAAATACCAGACCCATGGACTCGTCAAGGAGGATGAGAGAACAAAGTGTTGTGATCTAGGGCATTGTCTAAACCGCCAGACAAAGAACGTCGGGGTGAGAGAGCTTCAACAATGCATTTGTTCCCTTCCTCCTCGAACAACGAATAAAGGATGACAATCTTTCTGTTTCTATCAACGATGACAATCGATTCTTTGAGGATAGCAAGAAACTGAAATCTATTGTTTCGTCCGGCACTTTTGTACAAAGAAGGAATAAAGAGGGCGAGCCAAGCACAAAGGCGTTGCCGCCGTCACTGCGGCGGAAACAATGTGCGCTCCATGTCCACTCAGGACGACGCCGACCCTGTCCCTTCCCTGGTAGACTCCAAGGCTGTTATTTACAGTGAAAAGGTAGAAGGGCTTCTCGAGATTGAGTAGTGGGTGGTGGGTGGTATCATGAACTCTTCTGCGCCTTCTCCTTTTCCGCCCGCTCATGCTCGATGATCTGCTTGCTCCAGCTGTAGGCGGAACACACGAGTTGTCAGCAAACCAATCGTAAGAGACCTGTGTGGTGGGACGTACTATCTGCTGGGATAGAAGCGGTCGGGCTCGGGCATCTTGTGGCGGAACTCGCGCTCGGCGCTCAGCTTCCATACAAGAGCCGTGATGCCGACGACAGCGAGGCCGAGGACGGCCGTGTTGGCCTTCCAGTTCTTGGGCTGCGCATACCAGCCACCGGCCGGCGACCAGACGTGCTTGGGATAGCTAGATGCGAAGGCGATCGGTTAGGCATTCGCTGGGGTGCTGGTGGGCAAGTGTTGGCGGTTTAAACTCACGGAACCTTGGGACCGCCGCCCTGTCAATTGCCATCTTGTTAGCAAGCCATAAATCAATTGGGCATCAGGACTATTAGATACCCACCATTTTGAAGTAGATTCGGGGGGACGCGACGTGGCTTGGGTCTGGATCGAAGGTTCTGCGGCGACAGCAGAGCTCGATTCTATCAATTAGCAGCCAAGGACGGCGCTGTCGTGAGGTCGCGCAAGCTAGCGTCGTCGATACCTAGGTACACCTGCTGCCCCCCTGCCCGGGCCTGAATTGACCTGGAGGACCAATGGTTAATCCGCTGGGATGTGAGGGGAAAAGCGGGGCACTTTTCCAACTAGGGGGCTTCCCGATGGACCGGCAATGCGATGAAAAACGCGCCAAGAAAGGGAGCTCCTTATGTCAGCCACTTTTCTGGCAGCTAGCGATCCCTGCTCCTCTGCCACACGGGTCTGGCTTCAGTTTTGGAGAACTTTTTTCCTGTCCGTGTTTAAACGGCCCATTTCGAACCTACGATCAGCGCGACGACGACGGACCAGAACGCGACGACGGACCGAGCAGCAGAAGCAGCACCGCATTCATCCGGCAGACTCGCACATTTCCCGTTCACGCATCGACCGGGCTCCCGACCGCCAGCTGAGCTGCCTCGCAATTGAGGCTATTCTCGAGTGTCTTCGAAGCCGCCCATGACGAGGTTACGGCTCGACAGATGGGCGGGCCAGCTGCACGTCGTGGCTCGCCCGGCGGCCGCTCTTAGACATGCTGCCAGACCTGCGCGCCTCTGTCTCTCCGCCACCTCTACCCTACGCAACACCCGCCAAATATCCACAAATGGTGCCGCCGCCGCCGCCGAGCCCTACGACGACGGGACAGACCATGCGCGCTTCCCGCCCCTCGAGCAGCTCCCCCCCTCGGTCGCCGGTTACCCTTCTCCTTTACCAGAGCGGGCACTCAAGTCGGCCAAGCTAGCCGCCCTCCACGCCCGTCTGTCGCTCCCCGCCAAACTCCCTCTCCAGACGCTCGCCAGGACGCTCGTCGATGCCTCGGCAG